ATGCAAACCCCAAGTTTGGGCCTGTCCGACTCTGCAAACACGACATCAAGGACGGCTTCTACCGCATGTTCCTGAACCCTTCCGACTGCATCTGACTTGCGCTGGTACTGCCTCGCTATGAAGGTGAGCCCCAACTGGTGGCCGTCCCAATGTCTTGTACTATGGGGTGGGTCCAGTCGCCGCCTACCTTCAGTGGGATGTCAGAGACCACCTGCAAATCGAGCAAATGAACGCTTCCAAAAGTCCCCCAGGGCCTGTCCTCCACACAGACTTGAACAACACACCGAAACGATGGATGACCTGGACCCGTCTACCACGCCCAGACCGCGAGAGACCAAGGACCTTGCGGCCACCAAGAACTCCTTGGGATCGCCACCTCTCCCTTGGAGACCGAACCTGACCACTTTGCGGGACCATCAAACAGACCCTTGCTTCAACCCATCGGCCGCAATGATGTATTCGTTGACGACTTCATCCACCTGGGCTAGGGAGGCAAGACCCGTATGAAGGCGCTGCGCAGGAACCTACTCCATGCCATTGACGAGATTCTCGCATGCCCCAACCTCAGCGAGAAGCACCGAAATGAGGCGGTCTCACTGAAGAAACAACTCCTGCAAGGGGATGGAAGCTGGGCTACTCGGAAACTCATTCTGGGATGGACCATCGACACCCTCAGACAGACTCTGGAGCTTCCGCCCCACCGGAAGTGGGCGGTTGCTGACATCTTCAAGGAACTGGATGGGTGTCGCAGAGTCAGCCACAAGCGTTGGATGCAAATCCTTGGCAAGCTGCGCTTCGTCTCTGTCGCCATCCGGGGCTCCGCTGGGCTGTTCAGCGCTCTCCAGCTTGCCCTCACGAAGTCTAAAGGGGGAAGAATCCGGATCAATGCTGCGCTGAGATCCCACATCGATGCCTTTGCCGACCTGGCTGCCAGTCTCTGCCACCATCCCACACACTTGGTGGGGATCGTCCCCCAAGACCCATCCTTCTGCGGCGCCACTGACGCCGCCAAGGCTGGGATGGCTGGTGTCTAAGTACTTGACTCAGAGGAAACTCCCTACCTGTGGAGGTACCCGTTCCCTCCGGATGTGCAGGCTCAGCTAGTGTCCACGGACAACCCTAAGGGAAACGTCACCAACAGTGACCCAGAGCAGGTTGCCATCCTCGCCCAACACTCCTTGCAAGCGGCGGAGCATTGCATCACCTACGCCATCCTCTACACTCTCTCGGACAACACCCCGGCCGTCTCCAGGATCTCCAAAGGGGCGGTTACTTCGGATGGTCCTGCAGCGTTCCTCTGCAACTACGTCTGCCGCCACCAACGAGAACACCGATACTGGATACTGCGCCCTCACGTCCTACATCCCGGGTCCTGCTAACGTGATGGCTGATGATGTGTTGCGTCTGCAACACCTCACCCTGCCTGAACTTCTCGCCCACTTCGAACAGCGCTATCTACAGAACAGACCCTGGCAGGTGTTGACTCTGCCACCCGAGGTCAGTTCACAGTTGATCTCCGCCTTGCGCTGCTCACCGCCTCCAAGAGCATTGTCTCCAAGACGGCCTCCGCCTGAGACCGGACCTTGGGACGATGGTGTGACTTCTGTGCCGGCCTCAGCGTCAACCCATCCCTCTGTGATATCCCTGACCAAGAAGTCCAAGCCTGCTACCTCCTCGTCTTCGGAAACCGTTACCGCCAGTCGAACAATGTTAGAGCTGACTCAGTGGACAAGGCCCTTCTCGCCATCGGCAAGGGGATCACCGACCTGGGTTACCCTGATCCCAGAAAGCTCGAGGCGAGATCCAACGACAACTATCCAATACTCGGTGCTTTCCTCAAAGGACTCAAGGATGAAGATAGACCCCCTGACCAAGCCTACCCCGACAACTTCTCTATCCTCCGAGCCATGCTCGATGCCCTGGACTACGACGATGCCTCCTGGGGAACACTCAACTGCCACGTCCGCAACCTCTGCATCCTGGCCTTCTTCTGGCTCAGGATCTGTGCCCTGCAATGTACCTGGAGACCGGGAACCCTGAATCCTGGAGCCTTTCGTCTCTGCGATGTCTCGTTCACTGTCCGCGGCAGCCTCCAAGTCCGCGGGGACACCATCTCTTTGAATGACGTGAAAAACTCCGTGTGCCTCACCAATGCCACGTTTATGTTCACTGACCAAAAGAATGCTGTCCGCGGAGAGTCCGTGGGCCACCGCCCGACCTCTGATCTGTGGTTCTTTCCGGTGAAGTCCCTCGCGCGTGTGGTCTACCATCTCTGTACCAACAGCGCCGATGTCGACACTCCCCTCTTCAACCACTTCAATGAGGCCCAAAACCGGTGGTATCCTGTGAAGCCCCAGTTCATCACCAATGCCCTCCGCCATGACGCGGCCCTCATCTCCCATGAAACAGGTATCGACCCCGCCAAGGTCTCTGCCCGTTCCCTCCATCCTGGTGGTGCTACAGTGCTACAGCCTTTCTCTGTGCACATGTTGACTCGGATGCCATCCACCTCCTCGGCCGCTGGAAGTCCGATGCCATGCTCCGCTACCTGCGCATCCAAGCCACTGCAGCCACCCACCACTACTCCCAACAGATGTTGTGCACTACGCTAAAAGCTAGTGTAAAGATCTTTCCGAGTGTTTTGTGTTTGAGAGAATGAAAGTTAAAGAGAGATTAGAAAGCTATGAAAACTAATCAACGAGAGAGATAACCATCAAAGGATCGTAGATCTGGTCTCCCGCGGGAGACTATAAAGTGTGATAGAGTAGGTTGCGGTAGTAATCCTACGTATCTCCACGAACCTAAAACGGAACGCGTGGAAGATTCGTTTAGCATGGATCTAGTAGCGTGGAAGTACTCCACGCTGGCTAAATATCTAGAGCGATGTTTCATCATCAACCTAGTATGACTAGAGCGGTCATTGAGAACCCTGTCTCAAATGACTATTCACGAGAGACTCAGTCATGAGTCGAACTCAAACCCTATCTAGGATCGAGTCGCGAATAAGGCTAAGAGCCGTGTATTGCAATAGCGCCAGTGTGGAACAAGCGAAGTAGAAACTTGAAGTCGGGTCCGTCCTGCTTGAAGATATGCTTCACAGGTTCCCCTTTCTTTGCCAAGCTCTTTCTGGAGGACATGGTGGCTTGCTTGTTGCTTGGCCAATTGCTTTTGCTTTGGATGGTGGTTTCGATTTGTGAGAAGAAGAGAGGAGCGCCATTTTGGGGAAGATCGCCATCTTGGTTGGCTACTACTGGTATCAGTGGAAGTTTACTGGTTGTGCAGTTTTGTGCAGTTCAATACCGGCAAGATCGATCTTGCCATCTTGCCAGGTAACTTGATGGAATTAAACTTTCAGACGCATGTGGTTCGCGCGAAGGCTTAGAGGTCATACTGGTTCACATGGTCATTATAACAGTTCCCGATTTTTCTTCTCCTCTCAGCTCATGTGTATCTTTCCTGGCCGACTCTATCCAACGCTCAATCCAACAATTGCATCAATTGGTTCTCACATTTTCAGTTTCCATTTTGCCAGGGTTTTCTATGGGTGTGCTATGCCATCACAGAACGCACCCACACTCATATCGCCCTTTCCACACATCGATATAGATGTCTACAAAGACCTAGCCTGTTCAACTTGGGCCCTCCCTTCTTTTACTAGTAATAGACAGTGCACCTGAGCCTTCTTTGGCTAGGAATGGGGTCTTCTAGGTTTCTAGATCGCCTCTTGAAATTGGCGTTCCAGGCCATCATTTATTCATCGCCGCCTACAATTCAAAGAGCTCACCATGTACATGCTCCACTCCTCCACCACTGCCGCTCCTGATCCAGATCAGATGGGAGAACAGACTGATGAATGACAATGGCAGTCGGTGTCTGGTAAATGTTGATGGCACTGACTTTCGCATCCGGGAACCAGGTCCTTTCTCTACTGGCTGGTATACCAAGAAGTTAAATGGTCCTGGATTGAGGTATGAAATTGGTGTATGTATTCAAACTGGATGGATTGTGCGGATCAATGGTCCCTTCCCTTGTGGCGAATGGGTTGATATTGCCATTTCTTTGTCATCTTTGGTCCACATGTTTGAGGGAGATGAGAGAGCTGTGGCTGACAAAGGGTACGGGGGTATCCTCAGTTCTTTGACTGCCCATGGCGACACCTTGACAATCAACAACAGACTAGCAGGAAGGCTCTTGCAAGGGCCAGGCACGAATGTGTCAATAGAAGGCTGAAGGAATGGGGCTGCCTCCTTCAGAGGTGGCGCCATTCCCTTGATAAACATGGTAAGATGGCCCATGCTGTGGCCAACATTGTGCAGCTCCAGATCATGGACCGGCCAATGTGGCAGGTGGAGTACCATGATAGAGTCAACAATGAGTTTGACTTTGATTATTAAAATAGTTTGTAGTTACTCTAGTTGCAGCCTCACTATTAGCCATAGCATTGACAGTCAACAACCAACCAGTCTACTCAGGTGTGTAATGCTTGTAATGCGTTTTCCTGCTCCTCCCTGAACTGATCATCCCCCCAAAACTGTTTCCTGATCATGAGTCGTACCACAATCTGTTCTACTGGTACCGGCATGCATAGCTGCGCATTGCCGCCAGCATTACCGGTACGGTATCGTCCATGTGGTTGTTGACTCAAAGTGGCCCGTTCTCTGGTTGTTCAACTTCCGCATGATGGCGCCATGATTGGATTTCAGCACTTGAGAATGGCAGGTAGGTGGCATGAATGTTATATTCTGCTTTGGCTCCTTTCCAGTCAGCCAAGGTACCCTTGTTCGCAATGTCGTCCTTGTTCACGACATCGGTGCGCCGGATTGAACATTCAGGGCACAAACAAACACGGTGAAGTGTCATCGCAGCGGAGCGGCAGTCATCAGTCGAACCGATCGAAGAGCATTCCAAGGAGAAGTGTCAACAGCCAATCGCCCGAGCAACCCGAACGTTCAACCGAGACCTGTTGGGCATGTCGTCGGTTTTCACATAGCCAAACAATGCTAACGATAGTAGACATCGATCGAGGCTACAAACACGACACGCCTGATCTTATCAGCGAGGCCAAATGGGATGGTTGCTCCCTGCACTTCAAATGTTGACCCATCACGATAGCCCACAACGTAACGATAGGGTGGAATCTGAACAAGGTCATCCCTTCGCTCATTATGATATGAAACTTGAATAGACCCGAAGAGCTTGAAAGTAATCGATGGTACCTCTGAGGAGTTTCTCTGGTCTTGTCCTTCGAGGAAAAGCCATTTCGGCAGAGATGGCAGAAGCTGCATCCTTAGCTCCCCCGTGTCTTCAACCACGAAGAACGGCTTCTTGCCAATCATCATTCGCACCCACATCCTCAAAAACTCAGAGGTTGCCCCCGTCAAACGTGCATAAAAGCCTCTACCATGCTTCGAAGGGTCTTCAAAGGCAGAAGAAGCGAGAAAAGCAGAACATTCCATCAATGATCTTCCATATTGACTTGGGTCCATAAAAGGCAAGAGACCTCCTGAAAGCATCTCCCCAAAGAACTCTTGCACCATGTTTTTGTCGAGGAGTTGGAAGTAGAATTTGTAAGACATTTCCATCCAAATAGATTCGTTTTCAAGCCATCCAGGTGCAAATGCTGTGGCTCTGCCAATATCACGGCTCTGTCCATTCAAGCTGCCGCTGAGCTTGTACATCCCCAGGTTCTTGTCTCGTAGGTGAGATGCTCGTACTCTGGAGTACACCTTTCTTGCATCAGCGGGAGAAGAGGTCTGCATCATCCTTGTGGGGCCCTCCAAGAAAAGAGGGAATCTGTTCATTACCATTGCGGATGCATTGGCAAAGGGGTGTAGGTCGGAGTTCAGTTCACCATTCTTCTTCCACTTCGTCACGTTGTAGGAAAAATAGGTTGGCGGAAGACCACTACTGCCATCGTCTCCCTCCCCGCGGGACCCAAAATGCGAGGCTCTGTCTAAACCGTCTACCACTTCTTTGATCCACATGTCAAGAGTTGATTGTAAAAAGTCGGCGCCGACCGATTTAGTCTCGCCATCAAAAACCACTCGTACTCTCTCTCGATAAGATTCTCGAGAACTGGCAACCCTGTCCCAGTATTCAAAACGACTAGTAGGGACAGACTCTGACAGTTCGCTATCTCCTTGCAGATCAGCGTGCTGCAGCAGAGCTTCCAGCGCTTTATTCACAGCCATCAACAAATCGAATAGTTCCACAGGAATCTGAATTGGTTGAGGGAAACGGTTGACCACCGAAGAGAGGTACCTAAGAAGGCGCAGAAGCTCGTAGGCTTCCGCGACACCGCTTCCAATCATGCTGGGGATTCCGTTCATTGCTGAGTTGTATCCTGGCTTCCCCGCCTCGTACTCAATGGACATACCATAGGGGCATCTCGTGCTGAACTTGAGAGTAGCCAACAAGATCAACTTTTCAACCACGGTGCTTTGAAAAATGTTACCGTTGGAATCGTGTTGCCAATTCGCCTCCAAATCCAACCTCCCAGTTGTGTTCACGAAATACCTCATTTGATAGTCAACCTTTTCCTGATCGTGAGCCACTGCATCGAGTTGTCGAATGTGCTTTCCGTTGCCACTAAAGCTCACAGACACAACATATTTTTCGTTCCTTGGTCTCTAAGAGTGACGAACATTGCCAGATTCGGAAGGGAAACGTAAGTCAGGAATCCTCACATCGGATCAACCTAGATTGAGCAAATCACTTACAACTGAGGCTGGAGAGTAGAAAAATTTGAGCTTTTCATTAAAGAGCAGCCGCTCTTCCTGGTCGGGGTAAATCTCCAGGTACGATTCGATGAAGTCCATAAAGTAGGAGAACTGATCAGCCCAAAACCCAGAGCCGAATACGCCCATTGGATGAATCTCGCTGGCAGCTGCAATCCTGTCGATGAAAGTGTGAATTGGGATGATTAGCTCCATGTTGGCCTCAGCCATGAGCTCGAAGAGCTGGCCAGGGCGAAAAGGCCCCCCGTTCAGGATGTCGCTCAGTTTCTCCCGTTGGGCTCTGTGTCCATCAGCCTGGCCCACAGCTGCGGCAGCCAGCTCATTGCATATGATTTTGTTAGATATAGTAAACGAAACAGACTCGACCGTCAGCGGATTGTACCCGTCGGCTTGCAGGAGCGATAGGAACAGTCTAACATTGAAACTGCCAACACGAGGCGCAAAGAAAACATCGTTTCTGCGGTGCTGCGCAAGGTCGTTGAAGCGCCCAGGTCCCTGGCGAGGAATAGAAGACGGGCTGTCAATGCAAGTCCTACTGCACATCTGCCAACCAGCCTTGGTTCGCCCAGCTTACCTCGGAAAAAAATGTGGGACTGACTTCGAAGTCGTTGTAATCGCGTTCCAAGTCACCGTGGATCCTCGAAAACAAGTGATATACCTTCAAACGTTCGTCTTCGTCAACGCTTCTCATCAAGGCGTCGTCGTCCACCTCGCCAAGCAGGGTAGGGACGCCCCCATTTAAGCTGCTATCCAGGAACATCTGTTTGACGTACCCATCGAATAGTTTGTTGGCTGTTTTGGTCTCTATCTGTGCGGTTATCTGTCTGACAATCTCCCGAAGCCTCGTTTGCTTGTACTGGCCAAACCCCGGCTGTTGGATCCTCCTGGCAACGACTGGAACATCCATAATATGAGCTGCCTTTCCGTAGAAAGAGGTAATGGTGACAGATTCGCCAGGTTTCAGTGTTTTCGAGTCCACTACATGTATGATGTGTACCCAACAGAACGCAAAAATGAGTACGAGCACAACTGGACCCCAACAGGTTGAATTGGCACGCAGACTATCGACGTACCTGCTGCAAACGCTGACGGCGTTTTGGCCGCCCCATACTGAGGCCCTGCAATGATATCACGTACAGTTCGTGACATGAGGCGTATCGGTCGAATCAGGGATGTATCGTCTCCGAATATAGTCGACGGGTCATAAATGATGGGCAAGAGCTGCGACTGCGGTTCTCCTTCAATCATAGCGAGACAGTAATGTCCCGCAATTTGTGCTGTTGTCGCCTCGGTGTCAGATGGCTGAGACGTCACTCGGTAGAAGGGCATGGTCTGTGTATTGTTATATGGGCTGAATACGTTCATAAAGCCCTCGAGTGTGTTTCCCATGTCCTTCAAGTACCCGTCTAGCTTTCCACCGGCTGGTTCCATTCGTGCGAGGCCATCCAAAGCAGACAGGACCAGTGGTTGTCTGTTGTCGGTGTTGACAATAGTCACACGCCGTACGAACGCTCCAAAGTCCTCTTCCGGCAGAACGAAATATGATACATTGGTTTCGATTTTGTGTGCAGTATCAACCTCACGGATTTGCACTTCATTGCGCCCAATGTACATGGTTCGTTTGGGCAGGTAGAATGGCGCTGCGAGTGTGTTGGGTGTCAATGTGTAATCAGATTTGACAACATTTGGAAAGCGAGTTGTTAAGGCCCCAAAGGGTTCTGTGAGAAAGTGTTGTGTTCCTCGAGACCCCTGCAGGAAGGTTCTGAATCCCACGAGTGCCGTTGACTGGTATGCCTTTTTGGCGGACTGGAACTCCATGATGGGATAGTCTTTTGATTTTACACCAAACGAAGCGATCCCCTGTCCTCGGTTTGTGTAGAATGCATATAGTGGCTTTCCATAGATTCCAGCCAAGCCCGGTAAGAAGTCTGCAAAAGCTGGTTTTGTGTCATAGTCATCTACAATGTAGCGCCCAATTTCATCGTATTCCTGTTGATGCTGTTTATCGTTGTCGTGTTTTGTGTCTTGAAAGGTATCATACCAGCCTCGAACCGTGTCTGTGAGGAAAAGGGCCACTCCAATACACATTGCCAAAACAGCCGCTAGAACCGCAATGAAGGACGTGCAGCGCTCTTTGGCTTTTCTCTTTCGGCTCACACTCTCCCGAGGTCTCCCGGATACTCTTTCCGAGGCTCTCCGAGAGGATCCTTTGAGAGGAGTCGACTAATGCGTCGGATTGGAATGGAATGACAAGAAATTGTGGGAAGACAGCAAGGAAATAGACTGCTGCTTAGTCGAGATGATATCCTATCCAAACTAAGTACTAAGTACTAGTGCTCTTGCCACCACTCACCTCTTTCGAACAAACGTCTCCTACCGATTTCAAGAAAAAAGATCAATCAGTCAGCAAAAAGATGGACCGATCCGACGCTGACCAATCACTACGAAGGCAACACGCCCTGCTGTTGAACATACCTCCATTCTGTCTATGCCACCGGGATCCCCCATTCATAGTGGCAACCGAACAAACAAATAAATAGAATCCTCTGTCAGGATACAAAACACCAAAACGACGCACTTCGTGCGTGCAAGAACACGAGTCAAGAGCTACCTCCTGGCCTGGTTGTCAAGAGTGAAGAGAGGAAGCGACAGTAGTCTAGCTACTCCTAGTCTAGTTGGTTCCAAGAGGACAAACAGGAGCAAGGTATTAGTGTGGATGAGAACGCTTTTGATTCTGCTACCATGCATGGTCTGTACGGTACGGTATTGTACTAATAAGACCGACGAAGCCAAAATCTTTTTGTGGAGGAGTGAACCCTTGTGTAATCGAATTAATCGAATCGACTCAGTCGAGTCAACGAATGAGAATGTTTGTTCTTCAATGACGTCACGCAGCAACTTTATGGACAAAGCGCAAGAAGCCTTTTTTTGCCCCACGATCTTCGATTTGTCCAGTGAGGACCAAACCAAGGAGCATAGGTCTAGTTTGTGGTATGTCCAAAGGATTGCACCAACCAGCTCTGAGGGGGAGCCAGCAGGTGGGCTGCAGCTGCAAGAGGCATGCTGATCGAGAAAAGGAAGACAGCACATGTGGGACAGGTAGAGAGATGGTTTGTCATATTCAGTTTTAGATCGTTATAGTTCGTTTCTCCACGAGTGGCACATATTCCGGATAGTACATCTTGCGGGCCACAAAGCTGTCAATGTCTTCTAGCTCATCTTCCGTGAGTTTTGTTGCTTGTCCATCCCGTATTGCCTCTTCCACGACCGCCACGGCTATCCGATGAGATACCTCCCGAATCCGGTTGATGGGCGGGAACACTTTTCCTTGCGCAACGTCTTCATCAGGGACAAACTTGGCGAGTGCTTCCGCTGCAATGTACAACATTCGATCTGTCACAGTCTTGGCACCACTTACGGTCGCCCCCAGTCCGAGCCCTGGAAAAACGTACACTGAAGAGATCGCAAGCAAGCAGCAAATAGCAACACAACAAAGAATGAGATCATGCTGCACTTGATGAACCAAAACAAATAGGCATTGTTCATCCGTGTCTTACTGTTGTTGCACTGCGATGGGTACATGACGCGGCCATCATCAAAATGAACCGGATCAAACGGTGATCCCGAAGCAAAGATACATCTTCCCTCTGTCCATTCGTAGGCTTGTTCCGCTGTGCATTCGGCTCTGGTGGTGGGATTGGACAAGGGGAACACGATGGGTCTCTCTACGTTGGCAGCCATTGCTCTGATGATTTCTTCGGTGAAAAGTCCACCCACAGCTGTCACTCCTAATAGCATTGTCGGCTTATGTTTCTGGACGATTTCTCCCAAGGCCATCCCACCATCTTCCGATCGGGCAAAGGTTTGTTGTTCGGGTGTCAGCGACTCCATTCGATCCGTTCCCAACAGACTATTATCCAAGGAGCAATCACAAGCACGGAATGAGCACAATAGCAATGGCAGGAGACGAATTGCTTGTACCGAGACCATGCGGCTTACCCATCCTGGTCAACAATGAAGAAGGCTTTCTTCGCCTCTTCTTCTGTGCGTCCCTGCTCCATCATGGCTTGCAAGAGTGTCTGCGCAATGCCAATACCAGCACTTCCGGCACCAGCGATGACAATCCGTTGGTCGCCAAGAGCCTCAACGCTTGAGCCTGTGGCCCTCAGGGCACACAACAAACCCGCCAGGGCCGTGGCTCCAGTTCCTTGGATGTCATCATTGAAGACCAGTTGGTTGTTTCGGTAGGTATCCAGGAGTGTCTGGGCAACATCACTAGAGAAATCTTCAAACTGCGAGATGCATGAATAACGATATGTGAGCGGCATACCGTGTCATGATGGATGCCGATGCAATCTCCGTCACTCACCTGTACCAAGACATTGGGCCACCGATACCTAACAGCGTTCATGAATTCTTCCACAAGATAAAAGTACTCTTCACCGCGCAGTCGATTCTTTTGTACGCCAAGATAGAATTTGTCCTGCAACAGCTCTTCATTGTCAGTCCCCACATCCAGTACAACCGGCAGGACCCGGTGAGGAGCAATCCCTCCGGCGGCGCAATAGAGGGCAAGTTTTCCGATGGGGATTCCCATCCCGTTGGCACCTAAGTCCCCTAATCCGAGGATTCTGGATCCGTCCGTGACAACAATGACGTGTACATCTTTATGGGGCCAGTTGTATACCATGGCAGCCATTTGTCCCCTGTCATCTTCGGAGAAGTACATTCCACGAGGGCGTCTAAACCGTGCAGCAAATTCTTGGCAGGCTTGTCCAACCGTTGGCGTGTATACAATGGGGGCCACCTCTTCAATGTGATCCACCAAAACTCGATGATAGAGTGTTTCGTTGCGATCGTGCAGGTCTTCCAACATTACATTCTTTTTTATGTTGCTTTCTTCGGCGCGAAAAGCAAGCAGAAATCGCTCTTTTTGTAAATTAATGTTCATTATTCGACTCGGCAGGAGGCCCCTGAAGCGCAAACGATCCCTCTGAATACGAGGTTTAGAACATGAAGTGCAAAGACGAATCGAATCCCTCAAATGTGAAAATTGTTCTTACCTCGCCTGTCTTGAAGGCTGTGCCTTTATTGTATAGAGGCTCATTCAGAATATCAGCCCCTCTAACGGAAATGCCAATGGGGGCCATAAAGTCGCGGCGGCATCCTGCCCATTCTCCGGTCTCCACAAGTGGTTCTGATCGTTTGGTTGTCTTCCCTGTGTTATCGCTGCTGGTACTTAGACTCTTGGCAAATGTAGCCGTTCTTGCTGCTACTTTGTTCCGAGACAAACTCCTGGAAGCCAGGGATGATATCATGATGGACAGTGTGAATGGAACCAAGAGTGCCTGGGTGTACCACAAGATGGACTTGGTCTGCGATGGAGGTGCTGAAGAATTTCAGTTGGAGGAAAAGATGGAGGTTCTTTAGAACACGTGCGAAGAGAAATACTCTGTTTCTGCTCAAGATGTTTTGCTCTGTTGGGCTTGATTTGGCTGTGATGTGGCTGCAGTTAAGCGGTTTCCCGGTAGCTAGCTAGTTGTCCAGAGAAAGGCTGCTCTTTGTAGAAAAGGACGTCGATTTATGCAATGCATCAACTGGATTTGTCCGGAGCAATGACTTATTCAACAGAATTGCGTTGTTGGCATTGTACCCGCCATTTCAACTGTTGATCTCGCCACTCATCACTGACGTTTGCGTGGTACTTGAGAAACTGGCACGGCTGAAACTGGTATCTTTTTCCGGCTCTGCTAGCTTCTTAACATACCGGTACCGTATGGTTGTACCAGTACTGTACTCGAACTTGTCACGCACCCTACCGTACGGTACGGTACAGGCAGTGCGAGAGTGACAGGACTGCGGTAAGCAGACATGAGATTTCCTCAAGGTCAAATGCATGTCGGTTTCCTTTTCCAAACGCAATTCTTTGGGGAGTTCATCGTCCTCGTGAGTTTATATCCCATTTGGAAAACGCGTGTGGCTGGGTTGCTCAGTTTTTGGGAGTTCGTTGGCTTCGTGTACGAGTGCGGCAATGTCTCCCGTACTCTCCTCAATTTTGCCTGTACCGTACGTTTCTCTCCTGCCACAAAATTCCAATGGTCCACAATTCCAAGACACGACAGGGCAGCTCGCTGACCTCAGTTCCAATACTGTAACTATAAAGCAATGAAATACCCAAAAACCGTGTTCTAGCTAAGTTATTATTATTGGAGTCCACTATTATCAGAGGTAGCATCTCTGATTCTGTATTAGGATTTCTTCTTGGAAAGGGACTGCAAGTACCCATCTATTATCTTTTGAGCTGTTTCATTCGTCACAAAGGATCGAAAGAAGTCATTGTCTTCTTTGCGAGTGGCGGCGAGATGGTCCAATCGAGCCTTTCTTGCCAACATTTTGCTGGCAAGCCGAGCTTTAGCCGGGATCTTGCCCCACTTGACAGCCTCTGCTTGAGCCCTACTCAAGACCTCTTCTCGAGGAACAAGTTCGTCAACCAAACCAATTGCCAAAGCTTGTTCTGGTTGATGCAATAAACCAAGAGATAATCCAAGTTCTGCTTGCCGTTGTCCGATGGTGTCAATGTATTGATATCCGAGCCAACTGGGAGCCACAATTCCCAGTTTCGTTTCATTCAGTCCAATGGTACTGGGTTTTTTGGAACCAGCGCCAGAAACCATGATGCGATAGTCACAGCTCAAGGCTAACATGCAGCCTGCCGCAGGAGCATGGCCAGCAATAGCCGCAATTGTGGCTAACCGAGAGCCGTATAGATCGAAATAAATCTGCTGGAACGAATGCCAAAAATCAGTCAAGCGTTTCTCATCGGGTTTATGAAGCTCTGTGATGTCGAGGCCAGCGCAGAAGACCCCAGGCAAGGAAGATGCCAAGACGAGGCTCTGTATTTCAGGTTGACTTTCGACTTCTTTGATGGCAGTCGTGATGGCTTGGCACCTACCGGTAATTGTGATGCAGAGCGCAATTTGTCAGAGGTTGGACAATTCCATAACTCCAAGATGTCCATCAGAGATACTCACATTTCCAGCGACAATGAATTAACGGGCGCTTGGTTCATGGTAATGGTAGCAACACCAGTATCACCATCGATGCTTGTTAGGACGAGATCCTTATCCTTGGCATCCGAGAACGAGCGCAGCGACAGACCGCATCTTTTAGCCTGACCCACTCGCAAGAGTCTTTTCGAGAGCGTTGCAACCAACATGGTCCTCTTCTAGTAAGCTTAAGTTCTTCTTTTGCTGTTGTTGATGATCTTGGAAATTCAAAAGGCCGAGAAAGATGCAATGCTAATATTATGCAGCTGCGTCAAGGTCCAACAGTGTTGCCTTTTCGTCTGTGGTTGTATCTCGTGTGCTTCCGAAGCCCCAAAAGATTGGAGGGTGTCATGACACCTCGGTGTTCAGTCGTGGATAATTCTCATAGACAAAAACAGTCAAATCGATTGAAAAATTGACTGAATTTTGCATAAAATCGAATAAATTATTCAACATAGTGGTCCTTGGAAGAGCCTCTACAGCCGTACGTGTGCTCTGGCTAGCTAGAGCCCTCGCGGCAGGACCAACCTAGCTAGACTACGGTATGTACGAACCGTACCGTACCGGTAGGGCAAACAGCACACAAAACTTCGACAGAGCTTTTGGGATCAGGGGCACATGGAGGGAGGCACCAGTCTTGGGGATCAGGCTATGGTCGAGTTTCCGGGATCAGCATACCGGTACCGGTATGCGTGAGGGATAGCCTTCTTGACCAAGGTGGAACCTTGTTCAGTGCAGCAAAACCTTCTCAAGTGCTAGTGCTAGCTCGCTTGTATTATCTTGATTTGTTAGGTACCGGTAGATGGCTATCGAATCTGGAATCAAGACGTCATGAGCGATTCGCGCTCAATCGGAGAGCCTCTGATTCTGGTCGTGCCAACACAGAAGGATTGCCGAGGCGGCACTCCATGTCCAGTTTGAAGATGAGAACCTCGGCTTCAGGAGCTTGACAAAAACTGTTTCATTTCCGGAACAAGCAATGGCTCCGTTTCGCATCTGTTGAAAAGGTGTGAACTTGAACGCACAATTTCTCTAATTTAATCAATATCCTTCCAGCTC